TTCTTCTTCTTCTTCTTCTTCTTCTTCTTCTTCTTCTTCTTCTTCTTTTCTCCTCCTCCTCCTCCTCTTCTTCTTGTAATAATAATAATAATTTTTTTTTTTTAAAGAGGAGACTGGCAGAACCTTGGCCACCGTGCCAGGAAGTCGGAAATGGGCTGTAGAGTGCACAGAAAACTGCCACCTTGTAAGGTATAAGGGATGAAGAGGAGCCCACCTGGCAGGGTTGTTGTGCAGCACGACTCAGAAAGCGCGTCGCTCCAGATACATGTTTTTTTTTTCCCCTCCTCATGAGAAACCCATTTCCTGTTGGAGAAGGGCTTCCCAGTTCAAACTAGGGAGCTAGGGATATTAGAACGCAGAATAATAGGGCTGGGAGGGACCTTGGAGGTCATCTAGTCCAACCCCACCCCCCCTACTCAGGCAGGTTTCCGGGATCCATTATTATTGTTCATAAATGTTACGTTATCCTTTTATATTATTCCATCGCCGCATTGCCATTTCGTGGCATTCGATTACATGAGCACTTTATATTACAGGGTTTATTATCCTTTCGCATCATTTTTATGCTGTTTTGTTATCGTATGTATACTGTCAACAGTTCATTGAGTGATGGCACTGAAAAAAAAAAGGAACTTACGACTGTTTTCCACACTTACGACCGTTGCAGGACACCCCCCCAGTCACGTGATCAACGTTCACTGGCCATGACTCATATTTATGACGGTTAGTGTCATCCCCTTTTGCGACCTTCTGACAAGCAACGCCCATAGCAGATTCACTTAACAACACTGTGCTATTAACTTAACAACTGCAGTGATTCACTTCACAACGGAGGCTGGATTGTAAAATGGAGCAAAATTCACTTAGCAAATATCTCGCTTAGCAACATTATTTTGGGCTCGAATTGAGGTCGTAAGTCCAGGACTCTATTTCTTCATTCTGGGAAGAGTTTTAAAAAATAAAAACAGAAAGCTTTGCCCTCCACTGAGAAAACCTGAGTTAACTCTATTTAATACCCCAGGAGCAAGAAGAAAAAAATATTATAAAATATGGGATTTATTTTATCAATGGCTAGATAGAAAAATAGGAAAATGAAATGTATTATATATAAATATAACACAATAGTAAATATAACACAGTAGTAATAATATGTTATACCTGATTATTATGGAATGGATTATAATATGAATTAGAATCAGTAAGAACTGACATTTGCTCTAAAAGGAGAAGGCGGATTTGAAATTAAAGTCTAATGATGGTGTAATAATAATATAACATGACATGGAAAGTTGATTGATATAATTTGAATGTAAACTTAAATATAAGAGGAAAAAACTATAGACATTATGCACAAGAAATATATACCAACCGACAGACACACTGTGCAAATTATTTGTTGTTTTATGTTTATGTTTGTTATTAAAAAATTTAAAAAAAAATACAAAAAAACAAAAAAAACTATATTTAATACAGGTAAATAAATTAAAGTGTGATTTCTTCTGTTTTCTAAGCCCTGCCAGTTCTGCCTCCAACTTCTAAATCCAAAATTTCACTGCCACTTCCCTTCACTCTTGATTTCCCCCGACACCTAATTTCCCCCCGCAAATGAATAAAAGACCACGGGAGAATGACAAAAGAACATACAATGTTGCAAGGTGATAAATAAATGTATTATTTTTTTTAAAAAAAGAAAAAAATAATAATATTTTAAAGCAAACAAACCGCAGAGGGAGTTTGGGTCATCTCAACCTTCGAACCAAGAAGGTTTTAAATACAGGAGTTAAAACGAGAATGAAGGAAGTTCCAGAAAAAAAATTGCAAAAATAAAACAACTCCGGAATATGTTTTGAACGTCTCAAAGATCCTGTTTTGAGAGTCAGGTGAACAAGGTCTTTCCAAATCGTCCCGTCCCTCCGTAAAAGGTCACCAGAAAAAGATCCGATTCTTCCAGCCACCAAGGATCCTCCAAATTCTTGGTGCTCCTCAACTGGGTGAGAAGCCAAACCACCTCCACAGTTCAACGTCTGGGGGGGGGGGGCTGGAAGAGGAGATGGGGGCACCGCCTGCCCCCACAAACTAAGAGGAGATCTCGCAAGTCCATCTTCCCTTGACCGAAGGCAGCCCAGAAGGTCCACAGAGAAGGTCCCACGTCCACCATTTTAAGACCCTGGGGCCAGGTGGCGAGACAGGACTCTCCTGATCTCCAGGAAACTCCTGCCCTTGGTCTCGGGGATCATCTTGGCTATGTATAAAATGGTGGCGATGTTGAACGGCCAGAAGAAGAGAAAGCTGTAGGCTTCCAGTTCGACCTAGGGAGAGAAAGGAAGTCATGGTTGGGGAATCCATCCTAATGGAGGTGTATCTTCTGAACCACCATAAGAATCCAGCCTCTCCTCTTCCTCCCACAGTTTGAACCGGGGACCAGGGGCTTTAACCCTGGAGTGATCCAGGAGCAGGCTGCACCTTCTGCAGAAGGTTCTTGGTGGAACTGAAGAGGGAGGCCCATTCTTTCAACATCTGGGCCAGGAACCCATTCATTTTCATTTTCTATGACGGCTTGTGCTCCCTCTTGAAGACAAGGTCGTTGGGAGCTGCACGGAAAGGGCGGGGCTAGTCGGAAGAGTGGGTTGGGTCTAGAGTGAGAATGGGTGGGGGCTGCTGTAGGCCGAGTAGGCGGAGCTGGGATTCGTGGTGGGCGGCGGGGCATCGAGGGCTGGGTGGAGTGTTAGCCAGAATGGGCGGGGTTACGTCAAAGTGGGTGGAGAAGGGATCGGGAATGGGTGGGGCCCAATCAAGGAGCGGGTGAGGGTAAGAGGGAGGGTGGGTGGGGCCAAGTCAAAAGTGGGTGGGGCTATATATATATATATATATTAAAAAAGGACTCACTTCCATGTGGAGATATGTTACAATAATGAGAAATTTGCAAATCCAGTGGATGCTTCCGGCGACCACGAAAGCCGTGGACCGGCAGGTCTGGAGGAAATACTCAGCTACCAGCACGCTGGGAACCGGATCTGGGTGCAAAAGACAGCACGTTTCAACGGCTGATCTGCCCAATTATATATATACATATTTCATAGAGGACGCAAGTTCAAAACATGCGCCCCCCTTTGCATTTGCAACGGTCCGGTGCCGAGATACTTACTGGGACCGGTAGCTTGTCCGATGAGGAAGATGGTGTGGAATGACACACTCAGATATGCCATGGTGGGGATATTTTTCTGCCGGAGGGGGGAAAACACACACACACACACACACAAAATCAGGACATGCATCTCTTTAAAAACTCTCCCTGCTCTACATTCCTAGCATTAAAATTTCCGTGGCCAACGCATTTAAATAAATGAAAAAAAAATATTCAGGCAAATTTCCCCCCCGGGGGAGCATAATCGACAAAAATACACGCAGTCGACTTACAACAGTTTCGTTTAGTGACCATTCAGAGTTACGATGACATTGACTTTTCGGCCGTTTTTCACACTTGTGACCGCTGCCGCCACCCTGGGGCCGCGTGATCCCAATTCGGACGCTTGTGGCAATGGACTTGTATTTATGACGGTGGCCGTGTCCCCGGGGGGGTGTCACGCGATCCCTTTTTGCGACCTTCTGACGAGGTTCAGTTAACGACCGTGTTACTAAGCTGACAAATGCAACGGTTCCCTTAACAATCGTGGCAAGGACGTTGGTGAATTCACTTAATGGAATGTTTCGCTTAGCGACATAAATGTTGGGGCTTAGTTGGGGTCTTAACTCAAGGGCTACTTAGATGTCGCTTTTTCAGGCATCAAGCCAGGAAGGAAAATGTCTCGGCTTTCCCCCAAAAAATCTCCTTTAAAAATAAAAATAAGAGTTTTTTAAGGTTGCCTTAAAAAAAATAAAAATAAGGTTTTTTAAGGTTGTTTTAAAAAATAAAAAATAAGATTTTTTAAGGTTGTTTTAAAAAATAAAAATAAGGTTTTTTTAAGGTTGCCTTAGAAAATAAAAATAAGGGTTTTTTTAAGGTTGCCTTAAAAATAAAAATAAGGGTGTTTTTAAGGTTGCCTTAAAAAATAAAAATGAGGTTTTTGTTTAAAGATTGCATGGAAAAATGAAAATAAGGGTATTTTAAGGTTGCCTTATAAAAAAGAAAAAATAGGGCTTTAGGGAAATGACTCACCTGAAGCTGCAGAGACATGGACAGAAAAAGGCCAGCAATTATGCAGACGCCAAAGCCGGTAAGCAGGAGAATCCTTCGTCCCGAGGTTTCAATGATGCAGATCTAGAGAATTTTTTTTTTTTAAAAAATGGGCTGCATAGAGGCAAGTTCCTTCAAGTTACGACCAATTGCTTAACAACGATTTGGGAGTTACGACAGCATCAGGAAGGGTGCTTCGATTTGTTGTGAATGAATTTCTCCTCAATAATAATTTTCAGCCGCTGGATAATGACAATAATGGGATTTGTTCAACCCCTTCCTGCCAAACAGAAGTCCAGTCATTGATTTACTGGATATTGGATGCAGTACTCTAGGTGTGGTGGTCTTACTAAGGCTTTATAGAGTGGTATTAGTACCTCCCTTGATCTTGATGGACACCCTCTGTTAAGGCAGTTTAGGATTGCGTTGGCTTTTTTTGGCTGCCGACGCACACTGTTGGCTCATATTTAATTGATCGTCCACTAAGACTCCAAGATCCCTCTCACAGCGATTGTTATTAAGCCTGGTTTCACCCAGTCTATATGTGTACTTTTGATTCCCTTAACAACCACAGGATTAAGGAATTACACTTAATGACGGTGGCAAGGAAAGTCGTAACACGGAACAAAACTCACTGAACGACTTAGCAACAGAAATGTTGGGGTCAGTGCTGGTTATTATTCGAGGATTACCTATATTTTCACAAACATCCCAAATTCCCTTCTTCCCATATATATCCCTTTTAAAATAGTATAATCCAGTCCATTTTTCATTTGTTCTCAGCAAAACCGAAGTCCAGAAATGTAGAGAAAGATGCTAAAATGTAGAGGAAGATGCTAAAATGTAGAGGAAGATGCTGTCCGTGACAGTTAGAGAAGCCACTTATCAATTTCATGTCTTTCTCCTTAATCTGATTATTTCCCCCCCCCCCAAAAAAAGGCCTTCAAATCTGGACCCATTAAAAGCTTGGAGGAGGAGGTTGCCCCCACTCCCAGCCTCTTACCACTAGTGTTGTGATGACCATCAAGAAGAGAGATAACGCCATGCTGATGTACCACACTATCGTATCGCTGACCCCCGAGGACAAGTAGATCCGCTTCGCGTAATAGTGGACCTGGAAGGACAACAAAGCCCATACTTCATCCCGCTCCTTCACCGACTTGCAAGAGGCAGACCGGGCCTCTGGTCTCCTGAGATTGGACCATGTGAGGCGGAGGGTCCCCGGTAGAGGAGTCTTTGGATCGGTTTTTCTCAACCGTGGCAAACGGGAAGAGGGGATGGCCTTCAACTCCCAGAATTCCTCATGGCTGGGCTGGCTGGGGGATTCTGGGAGTTGAAATCCACACCCGGCCAACTTTTGTCAAGGTTGGATCAACAATGGATCTGAAGACTGCTCTTTCCAGGACCTACCACCTCAGGTGGTCCTGAGGAACATGAGGTCCGTGCTCCAGATAAAGCGGGTGGGAAGTGCTCCAGAAGGTTTCCGTACCGCGTTGATCCCAGAGAGCTGCTGGCCCGCCATCAGGACTGCGATAGACACCACGTGCCACCGAAGGCCGGGATAATACAGGATTTTCATCACATCCATATCTTTTTCCTTCCTGTCCGCCAGTTCCTCTTGCTGGATTTGTTCCATCTCTTGCTCCACGTCGTCCGAGCACCTCAACTTCTTCAAAGCTACAAGAGGAGGAGGAGGGAGAGGAGGACAAGGAAACACCACCCTCTGGAGCCATGATGGTGAACCTAGGGCACACATGCCAGAGCTGGCACATAGAACCTTTCAGTGGGGGAGAAAGGGGACCAGTCTGGGAGTCTGGGGAGGACTTGGATGAGGGTCCTGAGTTCGATGCAGAGATGGGGCCAGGAGCATCTGAGAGTGGAGTGCTGACTCCGGAGCCTCTGGAGTCTGGCAGTAGCAAGGCAGAGGAACAAGGGGAGCCTGTTCCCAGTGCGCGTATGCACAGAGCTGCTAGAAGGCAAGAGCAGCTGCGACAAAAGGGGCGACTCGGGAGTAAGGCTGGAAGGTGATTGCCCCTCCCATCAGGTATAAAGGAGGTGCAAAGGTAGAGAAACCTTTGCAGGAAGCAAAGTCGTTCCCTCTGTTTGGATTCAACCTTGAAGGTCTGTGTGGACTTTGTACTTCGTTTTGGCTTGTTACAGTGAATTTGGCACTTTAGTTGTTGGCAGCAATTCAAAGGAGAGAAAGGTGGGTGCTTATCTCGGGGGACTGTTTGGGACTCATTACTGGCTGGGAATGAACATTGAAATAAAACAAGAGGCATTTGGACTAAACCTGTGCTTAATTACGGTCTCAGGAAGCCTCAGGAAAGTCAAAACTGGGTTTGAGAAGAACTTGACCCAATCAATAATCAATCAGCCAATCCATCCATCCATCAATTCATCATTACCCTGTCTGGCTTTTTCTTCCTCCTTCTTCTGAATCAGGAGAAAACGAGGACTCTCGGGGAAAAACGGGAGGAACAGTAATTGGAGCAACGCCGGGATGCCAGTAAGGCTTAACAAGACGGGCCAACCTGAAGAAGATGTAGTAGCTCAGGATCGCTGACTCTCCCAGGCCAGAATCGCCCCAATTTAAGATAGGTTTCCTTTCTCCCTTACCTTCTTCGGTCCCAAGGACTTCGCGGAAGCCAATGGCTTCTGCCAACAGACTGCCAAAGGTGATCGAAAGGTCGGCCACTGTGCAGAGCGCCCCACGCAGATTTTGGGGGGCGATCTCGGCCAGGTACAAGGGGACCACGCTGAAAGCAATCCCTGTTTGGGGAAGCAAGAGAAGGACCCCCTCACCATTTTGACGTGGCCGTCGAAGGAGACTCTGGGCTTTGCTGTGGGGACAGAGAGACCTTGGGTGGGGCTGGGAGAGCGAGGGCAGCTGAAGAGAACTTTGGGGGAGGGGGGTTTCCACACACACCCCCGCCACGCCTGCACTGTCGCTCACCGGCGCAGACTCCCACCAAGAAGCGTGAACATATCAGAAGTTCGTGGGCGTGTCTCGGTTTGGTGGCGATGACCAAGGCAGCCGCGATTATGGCCAGAAGGTTATTAACCAGAAGCGTTGCTTTCCTGGAAAACAAAAGGGACAAGAAAAAAGAGGGGAAGGAAAGGGGGAAGGATAAAATGGAGGGAAGGAGGGAGAAAGGAAGGAATAAATGGAGAGAAATAGGGAGGGAAGGATAAAATGGAGGGAGGGAGGAAGAAATGGAGAGAAGTAGAGAGGGAGGGAAGGATAAAATGGAGGGAAGGAGGGAGAAATGGAGAGAAATAGAGAGGGAGGGAAGGATAAAATGGAGGGAAGGAGGGAGAAAGGAAGGAAGAAATGGAGAGAAATAGAGAGGGAGGGAAGGATAAAATGGAGGGAGGAAGGGAGGAATGGAGAGAAGTAGAGAGGGAGGGAAGGATAAAATGGAGGGAGGAAGAAATGGAGAGAAGTAGAGAGGGAGGGAAGGATAAAATGGAGGGAAGAAGGAAGAAAGGAAGGAATAAATGGAAAGAAATAGGGAGGGAAGGATAAAATGGAGGGAGGGAGGAAGAAATGGAGAGAAGTAGTCAGGGAGGGAAGGATAAAATGGAGGGAAGGAGGGAGAATGGAAGGAATAAATGGAGAGAAAGAGAGAGGGAGGGAAGGATAAAATGGAGGGAGGGAGGGAGGAGAGACGAGGGAGGAAGGAAGGATAAAAGGAAGGAAGATAGGAAGAAGAGACAAGGGAGGAAGGATAAAAGGAAGGAAGGAAGGAAGGAAGAAGAGACGAGGGAGGGAGGGAGGATAAAAGGGAGGAAGGAAGAAGTCAGATGTGGGAGGGAGGGAGTACCTGCCAATGCTGTCCACCAGAGGTCCAGCTAGGAGGGTCCCGCAGAAACCCCCAAATGGGAAAAAGGCAACGGTGAGACCCCACTGGAACTTCAGCAAGCTGTGGTCGATGCTGATCACGTTCCTGAACCGATACGTCTCGTTGTAAAAGTTTTGGATGTACTAAGAGGAGAAGCAGAATGACACCAGCTGAGGGGTGGGTGGTGGTCTCCTTCCTTTAAAATATCTATCAATCTATCCATTCATCCATCCATCCCTTGGGACAAGAGACGGGGCTTACCTTGGCTGGGTAAAAGATGACAAAGGCGTTGTAACCGTACTGGACCGAGGAGCCAAAGGCAGATATTAGGGTCACCAGGACAAGGGGCCTGGTCAGCATCTGGCGAGGGAAGGAAGGGAGGGCATTGGGTGTGTGTGTGTGTCAGTTTTTAAGACTTCTGGCCTCCCTTCCCAGGTGAGGCCTGTTGGTCTCCCTTGCCAGGCTGGGTGGTACTCACCATTCTCCGAGATGGGGGACAAAATGGAGGAGGACGGGGAGGGGGGGGAGGGGGGTTAGAAGGAGGAGAGGAGGAAGAGGAGGACGACGACCAGGAAGAGGACCAGGAGGAAGACCAGGATGAAGACCAGGAGGAGGAGGAGGAGGAGGAGGAGGAGGACATGGAGAAGAAAATGGAGGAGGAAGAGATGGAGAAGGAGAAACGGAGGCGGTGGCAGCGAGGGAAGATGGCGGAGGAGGAGCTGCAAGAGAAAATGGAGGAGGAGGAAGAAGAGGAGGAGAAGCTGGAGAAGGAGATAGAAGCATCAATGAAAGAGAAGTAACCCCCCCAAAAAAATTATAGAAAAGACCTTGAGGGAAGGATCAAGGATCTGCGGGAAAGGGAATGCAAGGCAGGGCCAACCACGCTTGGTGCCATCTTCGCCAAGTCTGGAGAAGACTCAACAGAAACCGAGAGCATCTCGATTTACAAAGATTCTTCTTCGCTGCGTGCTCAGCTGTCGAAACCCCTCATCTTAGGTTTATGGGACCACATTTAAACACCACCCCCCTCCCGGGAGAGACCAACCCCTTTGCCCAAATCCTTAGGCTCACCTGTCCCAAAACTGCAATATTCTCTTCTGCGGTTGTTGGCTCCATCGCTCTAAATCAGGTGCAAGCTCAAAAAAAAACTAAATGGGGAAAACGTTGGTTAAGTTTTCAAACTCCTCAGAGGGTCTTGGGGAACCCCACCCTCCAAAGCAGGTGATTTTTGGGGGGGCTGCAATTTCCAGCATCCCCAATCAGCCACTACAAAGTCAAGGAGTGTCCAGTAATTTCCAGTAACGGACATTCCAAGTGCAAGATTAACACGGAAGGTTGTTTTCCCCTAAAAGGCTCCCTTAGGATTTGGCCTCCCAACTGCCATTGCCCTCCCCCCAGTTGATGCTCAGGTGGGGGATTATGGGTATTGGAGCCAGCAGGACTTGTGGGGGGCTTGAAAAAGCCTCATTTCTTCCCAAGATTGTTTTGGCCACGATCAAATATGTACTAGGATGACCTTAAATTGTAATTCAGCTTGGGGGTTTGTTTTGTTTCTAACCTGGCTCTCCCCTGTGCATCAAAACCAGGAAAGAGGAAGGGAGCTACTTGAGAAAGTAACCAGGATCGCAAGATTTAACCGTGGGGATGAGCTTGGAAACCGAGTTAACGATCGTTAAACTGGGTTTCAATGGGCCGTTCAGAGCAGACGGTGGAGACCTAAAAGGCCGCCATCTCGTGGCCATTTTCGGCGTTGCAGCCGCCAAAGGATTTATTCTTTTTCTCAAAGGGTTTTGCACGTTATTCACGTTATTTTGCACGTTATTCGCGTTATTTTCCTCAGTATTCACGTTATTATGAACACTAATATTTCAGTAAGAAGCCTCAGTTCTGAACAACACGAACAGACCCGGGGAACCAAATGAAACCACGTCAAACAGAGATAAACTGGGCTTTTCAAAATTTAAGATTGCAATGGCAGAAAACGCCGCCATCCCGTGGCCATTTAGGGAGTTGCAGCCGTCAAAGGAGTTAATTCTTTTTCTCAGGGACCCATTTGTTATTCACGCTATTTTGATCATTATGAACGTTATTACGGTAGTAATATCAATATTTCAGTAAAGTGATCCTATGCTGGAGAAGAGGTATGAGTGTAAAAAAACACTCACCCTCGTGTGATCTCATTTGGCCTTTTTTAAGACGTACAGTTATTAATTAAAATTGTTTTCAACAATATTTATCCCATGGTTAATGTTAATATTGCAATAAAGAATTCAGGTAACCATAAATGCAAAACACACTTCCATCCTGTGGCGTTGCAGCCATAAAAAGGGGAAAATCCCCAAAAATGGGAAATTGTGGGTGAAGGGGAGCATAAGGGGAGTCAATTAATGTATTTATCGTGTGTGTATGTGTGAGAAGGGCTCGGGCATTCTGAGGAAACAATTACGGGTAGTCCTCGAGTTACGACCCCAATTGAGCCCAACATTTGGTCGCTAAGTGAGACATCGGTCGTGAGTTTTGCCCCGTTTGCGACTTTCCTTGCCACAGTTGCTAAGCAAAGCTGTGGTGACCCGGAGTGTAACACAAGTGTAACAAAATCCAAAATGTAAATAAATGTCCTTTAATGCCTCCAACTTGGCCCCACTGTTCAATAATTCTCAGATGGAGATAAAACTTATTCAAAAATAGTCTTCAAAAGAAAGCAATACAGTCTGAACTTAATGAGCAGATAGAGGTGAAATAAAAAACCAAAACAAACTACAGTGAAGGAATTTCCACAACGGACCAGGTTAAGTAATTACGAAATTCAAGGAGATAACAAGGCACAGTCTGTTGGAAGGACGCCAACCAAGATAACTTCAGCCCAAAATAAAACACACTTTGCTTCTGGCAACACTGTGTTTTAACCGTCTCTCTTATATACTATTTTCCCCAGCTGCAACCAATGAGGGGGATCATGGCCGCTTCCTCTCTCATAAGCCAAGTTGTTTCCTCCTCCGTTCCTCCGTCCGTCTCTTAGGATGGAGAGGGGATGGGCCTAGGTCCTCCTCTGACTGCCCAGCCGGCCTCTGCCCTTCCCCAGCCTCCTCCACAACCTTCAGAGCCACACTTCTACTCCCTGCTGGCTGTTCTTCCTCTCCCTCAGAGTCTAACAAGGGCATGATAGAAGCACTCTGGTGGTTTAAGTTAGGAACAGGGTTGTTAAGTGAATCTGGCTTTCCTCTTGACTTGGTTTGTGGGAAGGTCGCAAAAGGGGATCAGCTGACCTTGGGACACAGCTACGGTCATAAATAGGAGTCAGTTGCCAAGCATCTGAATTTTGATCACATCACGGGCATGTTGCAAAGGTGAAAAACAGTCATACGTCACATTTTTTTCCAATGCTGTTGTAACTTTGAAGTTAGTAGTAAGATTCAATTTATTTTTTTTTACTACCGGTACTGTGGTCGTAGCTTGGTGGGCGTGGCAGGGGAAGGTTACTGCAAAATCCCCATTCCCTTCCCACCCCACTAACCTGCTTTCCAGCTCTGTTTTCCGTTTTCCGGGCAACCAAAGAAAACCCAACCAATCAGCTGGCATTCAATGGGAGGCAGAGAAAAGATGGGGTTGGTGGGGCCAGTCAAAGGTGATATTGGCTGGTTCTCCAAACGACTCAAAATTTCCGCTACCGGTTCTCCAGAACTGGTCAGAGCCTCCTGAATACCACCTCTGCTTTGAACAGTCACTAAATGAAGTGTTGTAAGTCGAGGACTACCCATATATATCAGTGGCTCTCCTCCTAGCTGGCCACAATGATAAGTGCCTTGTCTGTTAGTTTTCTTCCTCCCTCCTCCTCCTCCCTCCTTCCTTGCATGTCCTCAGTATTACTCCTGACTTATGTGTGTTGTTTGGAGACCTTTTGTTTCCTTCCACAGCAACATCCTCCACAACTTTTGTGACTGTAGCTTCTTTAAAAAAAAATTAATGAAAAAGAAAAACTGAAAGGAACAGAAAATGCCCTCCAATATATCTTTTATTGCTAGCAGTACTGAGGGCTGCAAAGTGAGGCTCCAAAGACAGATTTGGGTCGTGAAATTCAGGGACGGTTGCACAGACACGCGTGGCTCTCCTCCCAGCCACGTCCCACCTCGGTAGCCATTTTGTGAAAGTGCCCAAGGCACATCCCGATGCACAGAGGACTGATCTTCCACAGAGATCTATTTGAGTTCTTAGCGGGTTATCCCAGAAAAATCTGCAGAAGGAAATACGTCGTGCCAAATTCTTGGTTTGCGTATCCTGATGGAACGGAAGAACTGAGATCCAGAGGGAAAAGCAGACCTTCTACGAGTAATTTATCTTCCCCCCCCCACTCCCAAAAAAAAATAAAGGAACATCAGGTGACACACACGGAAAGGCCGCCATGAGGCATCCCGCAGGCCGCTGTTTATAAACCAGCCATCATTTCTTTTAAATCGATTCAGTGCGGACTTTGGTTTCACTTGTTTTCTCCTACGGCCAATTGGATCTCCACAAAGGTTTTGCCCCTCGTTTCGGGAAGCATCTTGAAAAGATAAATGAAGGTGGCCACGCAGAAGGGCCAGTAGACCAGCAGAGAGTAGGGGCCCAGGAGTAACTAGGAAGGGAGCAAAAGGACATGAGAGTTTTTCTAACTTGACAAGATTTCAAAAACTCGCTTCCCGTTGTCCGGGCTGAAATTCAACTCCTGCTCGCATCGATGTTTTTTTTTTTTAAAAAAAAAAAAAAACTCGGCTCGATAGCAGATCCGCCAATCGAACGAATCTTCTCGGATCAATATCAATCCCCGCCTGAGAGTGTCCCTCACATCTGGTCTGTCTCCTCTACAATTTCCAGCACACACAACCACCCTCCGGGGTAAACCCGGGAGTGGGATTCAGCCGGTTTGGACCGGTTTGAGCGAACCGGATGTTAAATTGACATGCGGTTCGCCAAACCGGGAGTTGAACCAACCGGCTGGCCCCACCCAACCCACTCCACCCCTTCCAGGCAGCCCAGTTTGGATGCAGGTAAGTGCAGGGTCCACCAGAAGCTCTGGGAGGGTGAAAAGCCCTTTTGGAAGCTTGCAGGCCTGTTTCCGGCTGCCAGAGGGCCTCTGGAGCATGGGGGGAGGCTGTTTTCGCTCTCCTAGAGGCCTGAGGGAAGCCCCCAGACTCTGGGGAAAGCAAACAATGGCCCACCCGGAAGTTCCAATAGGCCATGCCCACCACAGCCAGACCCAACCAGCAACCAAGCAAAGAACTGGCTGTTGAGATTTTTGATCCCACCCCTGGGTAAACCTGGTTTGTATCTAAGCCCTCCAACCGGTGTCGTGTGCACCGCGTGGGGATTGCGACCCAGAATCGTGACTCGGAAGACACACACCCCCACGGGATATTTTGGACAGCGGAGGGGCCCAAAGGCCACCCGAGGATCTTGTAAAGGGGCAACCCACCCAACTCCTGTTTGTGCGAGAACTCACCTCCAGCTGGATCAGGATCAGGCCAGAGACAAACCGAGTGAACCACAGGACAGAGTATCCAACGGTGAAGGCTGTGGCGCGGGTCGACTGCAGGAAAAGCTCTCCCAGAACGACCAAACGGATCGGACCTGGGGAAGGGAGGGAGGGAGGGAGGGAGAGCGTTTCCTGCAGTCGACCCGCGCCACAGCCTTCACCGTTGGATACTCTGTCCTGTGGTTCACTCGGTTTGTCTCTGGCCTGATCCTGATCCAGAGGGAGGGAGGGAGGGAGGGAGGGAGGGAGGAAGGAAGGAAGGAAGGAAGGAAGGAAGGAAGGAAGGAAGGAAGGAAGGAAGGAAGGAAGGAAGGAAGGAAAAGAAAGGGCTTGACCAGGGCGGGTATAAGGCCTCCTGCCAGGGGGTTAGACTAGACCTCCCAAGTCTCTTCCAGCTTGATGTGTCTGCCCCTTGTAGACCAAGTCTTGTTCATTTCCTGCAGATCCCAGGGCTGCCTGGGGTTGCTAGCAAAAGTTTGGCGTGGTTCAGCCTGCTCACCTACCTGGTCCTAGCATATGTCCAATTAAAAAGATAATAATTAAAACCAGGCTTAGGAAAGCCATTACATAGTTCTGCTCCTGTGGAAAGAAAGCGAGAAGGGGAGCCAGATAGCTTTGGGAAGGAGACCCCCTTCCTCCTACGCTGGCACCCAGCTTTCTCTAAGCTTCAGGTGCTCCCACCGGCTGCGCGCCCCCCCAACAAGGATAAAATTGGGGTGGGGTGGGTGGGGTCAGGAAGAATAGCAAGGGGGAATTCCTTGCGGGAAGGAGGGGAGCTGTCAAACCTGGAATTCCAGTGTGAAGGTTAAAAGGATGCAGGTCATGCTACAGATCATAAAACCCATGATTAGAGGAACGCGCCGGCCCCACGCCTCAACCAAATTGATCTAGGGGGGAAAAAAATGAGGGGACAGAGCAGAGGTGGGTATTCAGCCGGTTCTGACCAGTTCTGGAAAACCGGTAGCGGAAATTTTGAGTCATTCAGAAAACCGGCAGGGGTGGGATTCTACCAGTTCGCACCTATTCGCTAGAACCGGTTGTTAACATTCTAAGCAGTTCGGAGAACCGGTTGTTAGAAGAAATTACTGGGCTAATCCTGTAAGGAAGGCAGGAAGGAAACATTCTGGGGTTGCTTACAGAAACTGCCTCTCCCTTAACCCTTATTACATTCTTGGCAGGACTAGACTTCCTGTCTCAGGAACATTTTTCCCCCTTCCTTTGCTGGTACTTTGCTTGTGTGGAGTGACCATTCAAAGTTACAACGGCACTGAAAAAAGTGACTTATGACTCTTTTTCACACTTACGACTGTTGCAGCATCCCCACAGTCATGAGAGGCCAGGCGAGGAGATGCGTGCCTCGATGTGAGTGATATCGAGTTGGCAATGCCCAGCCAGTCACATGACCACCAAGCCACGCCCACCAACTAAGCCACTCCCACAGAACTGGTTGTTAAAAAATTTGAATCCCACCCCTGAGAACCGACAAGTACCACCTCTGACTGGCCCCGCCAACCACATTTATTCTCTGCCTCCCACTGAGTCCCAGCTGATCGGCTGGGTCTCCTTGGGTTGCCCTGCACAGGAGAACGGAGCTGGAAAGCAGGTTAGTGGGGTGGGGAGGGAAGGGGGATTTTGCAGTAACCTTCCCCTGCCATGCCCACCAAGTCACACCATGCCCACCAAGCCATTCCCACAGAACCCATGGTAAAAAAAATTTGAATCCCACCACTGGTACAGAGATATGGTGAGAGGGGGATATCAAGGGCAAGGCAACAGGGATCAGAGCCCTAGACTCTGAGGGGGCTGGCTGGCTCCCAGCACCCTGTGGTGAGTTTTCCCCAAGGCCTCCACACCAAACCAAAAAAAAAAAAAACCCAGAGTTCTCCGTTCTTTATTTCTTCCAAGGGATCAAGTTCAAGATCTGCTGCCACTAGAAAAATGTCAGGTCTTGCAATATACATATATTTTAAAGGACCCTTGGATTTTGTCCAGAATGGTACAGGATCCCTCGCCATGGGGAAGGGGTTGGATTAGAAGACCTCCAAGATCCCTTCCAACCCTATGCTTCTATGTCGTGTGCTTAGCAATTCCAAAATTGGAACACTGCATCCAGTTTTTGGTCACCGTATTATAAACAAAAAAAGGTGTTGAGACTCTAGAAAGAGTGCCGAGAAGAGCAACGAAGAGGATTAGGGGACTGGAGGCTAAAACATATGAAGAACGGTTGCGGGAACTGGGTATGTCTCATTTAGTGAAAAGGAGTCGGAGTGATGGTTCCTACAAAGACAAGGAGGGTCAAACTATTTTCCAGAAGGCAATTTAAGAAGCCATGGATGGAAACAGAGATTAGACGTTAAAACCTCCACAGTCCCTTCAGATCTTCAGAGTTGGATTTTCACCAGATGTGCCAACATGACATGCCTAATACATTTGGACTCTAGGGAGCACCTTGGCCGTGGGATTTTGATTGCATTGGGTCTGTTCTTTGGAACCCTGACCCAACTAACCCAACTCCGCTCAATAATAAATTAAGAGGCTCCCTGGCACCCTTATTTCCTCTTCTTCAGACTCGCTTGGAGACCAAAACGTTTGGATTTATTTTATTTTATTTTTAAGGGGGAGGCGAGGAGATGGGACAAAACCCTGAGGTTTTGCCCTGAAGTTTTTGCCATGAAGTCGGGTGGCAAAGTGAGCCACTTACCGCAATGGCCACGATGATGATGTTGACGATGTGGATGCCTGAAGAAATGTTATCTGAGACAGACCTGGGTAACGCCATCGATATGTAGACTTTCTCGGTGTAAAAGAACATCTGTGTCCAGATGAAAAACAAGAGGTTGTGATGAAGATGACACCGTCAACTCATAAAACATTTCTGTGCATGTTTTGGAGCTGCCATGAACAAAAGGGAGGGGAGAAATTTGAAAGAGCAGTGCAGCAGTTTGAAAGCTGAAAGTGCATTCCGTTCTTATCTTGCAAAGATTGTAACTAAGCTGTGCAAATTCCTAATTGGAGAATATGATTGGTGACTCTTGGCTATGGACGTGTTTTGTTGGAGAATATGAATGATGATACACCCAGAGGGGTGGGGGTGGGGGAACAGAGTCATAGGTGATAGTATATTACGTGTCTCAGAATCGGCTTCATACAGATCATGCTGACATGTTCGCTCCTAATAAATCCTTTGAAGTTTTGGAAGCTTTGGCTGGAGGCTCATGATTTAATTAGGGCAACTGCTGGAATCCTGACAGACACTGGAAAACAATTTTTTGGAGGGAGGGAAAAGAGAAAGAAGGAGATTTGGGGGTTCTATCCACCGCCCTTAAAAGAGAAAGGAACTCGACAAAGGGAGGAGATGACATTATTCCCACGTGAAACAAACCCTGGGATCCATATTGTATTTGGTTTGGGGGGGGGTTTCCAATAAGGATTTGAAATGCTTTTTTCCCCCCCTACCCCATTGATGCCGGAAAGTTGACTTCCGGCCATCAACACGACGACGGTGACTATGGACCACCGGAATTTCGGAACACGTAAAAATTTCCAGAGTGTCATCTTTTTCTCGTTGGCCAGAACTTCGTACAGTTCTTCTTCCCGGAGTTCCTGGATCTCGTTCCCCACGTCCTCTTGGACCCTCAAGCTTCTTAAAACTGGTTGGAAAGAGGGAAGACCGTTCACATGGGCTCAGAGACAAAGAGTAAATTTGCATCGTGCAACAACAGGGAAAGATCATCCGCTCTTTGCGATCCAACCGGGAGTTCACACTTGCAATCCAGCTAGGAGGCCTTTAGGTCTCTTTACCTTCTCTTGCCTTGGTTTCGTTCTTCTTCTGGATAAAAATAAACCGAGGACTTTCCGGACAATTAATGAGGAGCAAAATGCAAATGGTAGCAATGACACCGAGTACAATAGCCATGAGCGGGAAACCTGTGAAGGAAGGGGGAGAAAAAAAAGGCATTTTGGATGGACAACTTCAAGCGCTGGAGAAATCAGGAGATTCAGACAGGATTATTGCAAGCTTAAGCTGTCTACAAGAATCTGACCAACTAACGGTCAAGGGAAATGCGTAGGCAATAAGAGAGGCATTCAAGGTGGGCTGGACTTAGATCTTTTGTGGATGTGCAAGGACTCGTGACTTATGACGTATTTGATTCCTCCCTCGGGCTCAGCCTCTTCTACATTCTGCTGTTTTTTAGAATCTATGCCTGATTTATTTTTTTCCCCTTCCTTTTCCTGCCCCTCTGTTTTTCCTTTTATGACATGCTGCTTTGGGCAGAAGGGTGCTGGTGGGGCCAGGATTGACGGGCTGCTTCGAGGGAGCTATTGTTGCGATGACGATTCGATCCATACACGTACCTTCTTTGTTCCCCCAAATCTGCGGAAGTCCTAGCGTATGGCCTAACAAAACACCGAGGCTGAAGAAGAAGGCTGAAGTTGTAGTCATGAATCCTCTTATGGGAGTGGGAGAGACCTCCAAGAGATACAGGGGGACACAGCAGGAAAAGATCCCTAAGTCGAACAAGGACATTGAACAGAGATGAGGGGTCAGCCGCCGGCCCCTCCAGCAGCCGAATCCGAGGAGGTGTAGGAATCAGAATCAGCAACAAGCTGAGAGCTTTGAGGGGGAAGAACTGGCAGAATGGTGGAGCCTGGGCCATCCGTCAGCCCTCAGATGGAGAGTCCACAGCCCCCCAGTTCTGGAGGGGGCTGATGAGGAATAAGAGGAACAGCTGGATCCAGTGCCCGACTGCGGAAGTGCAGAAGGCAGAGGAGAGGAGAGCGGTGGAAATCTATGGGCTGGCCCTTGGGACGGAAGAGCCACTGCTGCCAGGGAACACCCCCCTCCCAGCTCTGGGGATAAAAGGCAAGGGGCAGAGATGAATAGGTGCGGCAGGAGTTGCTGGTGCTCCTAATTAAAGGAATCACTTATTTAACTACAGAGGGTTTGTCTGTTCGGGGAGCTGGGTCAGAACAGGTCTACTATTAGCCACACCGCTGAAGAGCCAGATCTCCAAGAAAGCGGCTGGTCTCTTCAAGCGCCCCCAAATTGTCATGGCAAATATCAACAAACCAACCCCGGAGACTTCCTTCCCAGAGGAAGATCAGCCCCAAACTCCTCGGAGATCAACTCACCTGAAGATATTCCAATTATGAAATTGGCAAACAGGGTGAATTTGAAGAGATGGATGCTATTGGATATGCAGAGAAAAACCGAGGCGAAGAAAGTCAAGATGTTATTCAACAGCAAGAGACTCTTTCTGCCAAAGGAAGATGCAGGGAAGGGGAGAAGGCAGGGGCGAAAAGGTATTAGCCACCTAGTTTAAAAGAAAAATGCCGATAGTGTTCGACTTTACAACAGTTTGTTTACTGAACGTTCGAAGTTACAAGCAGCACCGGAACAATCGCGGCAAGAAACATTGTAAAATGGAGCAAAATTCACTGAACAACCATCTCGCTGAACGACAGAAATTTGGGGCTCAATTGTGGGCATAATTTGAGAACTACCTGTACAGTATAGGGTAACGCCTGGAAAAGAGACCACCAGGAGATCCTAGCGTTAACATTTGCTTCGCTCTATGGTATGGAGAAATTGTATGCATCGTTCTGCCCGAATCGTTTTGCCACTTCTGTTACCTTCCGTATTTGTCCACCAGGACTTTGAACAACACAATGCCAGTCACCCCTCCTATTGGGAAGAATACGACCGCGGGCGATAAGATGAACCAGAAATATCTCAAGCTCTTCACTTCCTCCCTTGTCAAGTTGGAGACAAGAAGCTTAAGGGAAGAAAAAGGGAAAATTGAGCGAGGTGAGGAAGCAAAGAAGAGATTTCCGATTTTTTGGGTCAGCCAGAAATTAAATTTAAGATGTGAGGGTAACACAAGAAATGCTTAAAAGACTGCATCGCAGAACAGCTACAGTGAAAAAAAATCAAATTTAACACAGCACACAGGGATGGCCTTGTTAGTCAAGCAGAGATGCTGCTCTTGGATTACGTGCGTGTGCGCTGGGGATATTGTGTGGGCAAACAGGACAGGAACCTGGGGGAAATCGCACCTTTTGTGCCCACCAACTCCTTGGCACACCCCAGCACATTTCCCTTTCGATAGGGAGACACATTCTCCTTTGCAAAACACCAGCTGAAAAAAATCCCTCAATGCCCGGGATAGAAGAATGAACGGATAAAAAGAGAGGGAAAACTTGACCATTTTCATCAGGAAAAAAAAAGAAGAAGAAGAAGACATCCAGTTTCGTTTCTAGTTGGAAACCGATCTTGGACTTTGTGCTCGAGAAGAAAGAGAGAGAGAGAGGGAGGGAGGGGAGAGAGAGAGAAAGAAAGAAAGGAAGAAAGGAAGGAAGGAAGGAAGGAAGGAAG